GGGGGGGGGGGGGGGAAAAGCTGCAAGAAGTCTGTTTTCTTGTAGCGCTCCCCTCTCTTTGCTTGGGAGCACTGTTTAAGCTCAGGGCCTCACTTTTTGTCCTTGACCTTGCCTGAGCAGTTTTGTAGCTATGCCTGTGCCTGGTCATCTTGCTGATCCTAACCTGCAAACTTGACAACCTTGCTTGACCTCAGACTTGCTTCATCACTGTGGACTTCTCTGACAATCATAGGTGGGCTGACCTCAGGTACCAGCACAGGACTTGCTTTGCTTTTCTCATTCAGGCACTGGGCCCTTTTGTCTGTGAGGGCACTGCCCTTACGAGGGCTGCTGTCACACCTGGCTCTGGCCTCTGGTGCAGCCCTGTCTTGCTGTTCCTTGGCAAACAGCTCTTTCCTCTAGAGCTCCTGTGGGAACAAGCTATGTGTATGCTTTCCAGAGCTCAGGCTTTCCAGCCAGGAAGCCCTGCCTGGTATTGACCCGTATGAGGAGCTGATTAGATGAACTGTGCACTATCAGTCACTATAGACCAATGTGTTCAAGAGCAGTAGCAGATTCCACAGAACAGTCTAGATTAGCAGTAAATATAACAAAGATAGTTGACTCCAGTTTTGATTGTCTCTTTGGATTCGCGTAAGAAGTGTCATAGGACACAGGCTGTCAATAATCTGAAGTTTAACTAAAATCAAAACTAAAAAGCTGCTCTAATAACAAAGGTACACTTAGAGGTCAAAGTGTAAAAAAAAAAAAATCAAGATTGATTCAGTTAATTGTAATGTTAGCTAGCAAAAGACAGTATTGCTATAAGTTTACTTGAAGAAATAATGTATACAGATGCCCTGGACTTTCTTCAAAGTTGTTTAGCAGCATGGCAAGAAAATCAGGGTGGGGCAGACTAAAAAAAAAAAAAAAAAGATACAGTGAAGAGATTTTCACTGAATAAACCTTTCACTAATTGAGTCACAGGAACTTACCCCTCTGAAAAAAAGGCATTGATAATCCTGTCTCCCAGTGGATTGATGGCAAGCTCTGGAATCCGCTGGAAGTCTTCACGGCTAAGAAAAGCAAGAACATAAAAAGTCTGCATGAAGTTAAAGTCAAAGAAGATGACATTACTTTAAAAAAGAAGTGACAGTAAAACATTTCTGTATGGTTTTATTTCAGCAGCGAGACAATTGCTGGTTTTCAAAACATAATTCTTTATACCATTGGTAATAGAGAAAATAGTTTAAAGTTAACTAGAAGGCTATTCCAAGGCTATATTATATTACAGGCTATTCATTTATCATGTTAACAGCACTGTTCAGTTGTTAAAATTATTTGTCTGTGCTAGTAATCTTCCTAAACTGATGCTGATAGTTTGCAACACCTAAGGAAAGGAAACTTCTGAAATTTTTGATAGGTGTTTGAGAGGTAAGTAATTTGAATTAGAAAAATTTTTCTAGACTAGCTTGTTCCAGATTCTGGAACAATGCTGTAGGAATGCCACATGCCTCCAAGCATGCAGTTGACCTGCATGCTGCATGCCAGCATGATCACAGGGTTTCTTCTATTATTAGAGTTACACTAATAGTTTTTATTTCCTTTCAACTGATCAGAATGTCTATCAGAAGTGGCATAATCTTGGTGTGTCCAGGGAAGAACTATAGGGAAGGGGGTAGATTATTCTCAGTGAAGATTTCAGGAAATGGGTTTATTTCTGCAGTACCGATTTACCAGTTAGTACAAGACTCGCTCCGTACTCATTTAGACTCAAAAGAGCGAAGAAAACAGTGATGTAGTAAGGCTGTAAAAGCGCCTGTACTCTTAATATGCATTATTTGATATCTCCTGACTTTTTCAGAAATACCTGCAATTATCTTCAAGTCAAATGCAGTCCTGTTTCTGAAATTTGGTTCACAAGGTCTCAAGCTTAGTTGTTAAAAGCTCACTACTTTTGACACCTATGCTCACTAAATGAATCAACAACGAAGTTGAGAAGTTGTCCTTAAACAGGGAAAAAAAAATGGGGAAAAGTAAGCAAGAACACACCTAAAATTATTTAAGTATACCATGCTTTTACAGTACCAAGATCTTAAAGATAGAAAAAGGCCTTCAGGAAAGGAATCAGCTAACCCCCCCTTCTTACTACTAGTCTAGCCTGAGAAAGAAGCAATATGTTCAAATTTTAGTTGCAGCCTAAAGCCCTCTTTGCGCCCTGTTACACCCGAGCATTGCTAAGAGGCCCAATTATAGTGTATCTGTTGCAACATGGCTGAAATCATTAGGCCTTCTAATATAGAGGGACATGACCATACTTCTAAGCTATCTCCAAGAGAATCACTGCTCTGACAAGGTCCAAATCATTTCAACATACCATCAGTATAGCATGATCATCTTGTTACCACACTCTTCAGGACAGCTGCATGTTAGGCCACAGCTGAAGGGCACCACAGACATTAGTTATTTAGGCAGGAGATGCAGTGATGTGGAAAACCTGTGTCCTGGTAACAATATTTTAACAGCAGGACTTCTGTGTCAATGCTAACATTTACAGGCCAAAAGCAGCATTCTATTTAGAACAAAACCCTAATGCTTAAACATTTTCTACTTATATATCGCTATTTCTTAATATTGAGCCTCAAACAATTTACATTCAGCATTTCAGCCTCTTGTTGTTCTGCTCTATAGCAGGAGATTAACAATTAACTACAAATAACTCCCCAGGTTTCAAATCTATTTGTCCTGTCATTATCAGGATTGCAGTAGGCCATTTTTGCTTGTTAAGAGCACATTACTGAGTGAGTGTTATAATTGAAATAGCTGCAACAGTCATAAAAGTAAATGAATGCAGGATGCAAGTTATTCTCTACTTTATAAACCAAGGCTTCCAAGAATCATTAGGGACCAACTTCACCTGGCTGAGGCTGGAGCTTGCAAGAAATTTGATGCCCTCTACTACTTTCTCATTCATGTGCCATAGCAGCAAGGCTCTTCTAATGAGATCCTTCCTGGAGGCTGTCTTCCATTAAATCCTTGCTCAAAGATAACATGCAAAGCAGTCCTTAACTGCATGTTATCATTATGCAGACCAGCCATTTCACATCTGTGCCAGAGCATTCATACTTCCTTTTGCAGCAAGGAATTCATAGATTCTAAGACAAGTATTTTCAAGCATGGTTATATCCTCTGAGGTACATGGCAGACCCCTAAGTGAATGAGACTTTGCCTAATTATAAATGCTGCAAAAGGACTTACTGGCCATTCTTTATACATATATATATATTTTCCCTCCTGTTTGTGTATATGTCTTCTTCTAGAAAACGCTTGAGGAACACTGTTCACTGAACAGGGTTAAGGAGGATAGGGCTACATAGAACTGAGGAAAGCAGAACTTTGAGGAGAAAATCATTCATATGCATAACAAAAAGTTTGTCTCAATAAACATGAGACTAATTACGTAATAAACATTTGGAAATAAATAAGTGTGCTAGAGGTAAAAGGTGATAATTAGAAAAAAAAAGCAACAGAAAACAAAACAAAAAGCAGTATGAATAAAAGAAAGCACAGCCAAAGAGGGAAGTGTAGACCGTGACAGTAGTCTGTCATTCACTCATCCAAACCATATCCTGTCTGTCTAGTCTATTTTAGGTAAAGCTAAAGGAAAAAAAAATGACTTTTTTTTTTTTTTAAGCAAAGAAATAATTCCACATTTAGAGAGAGCTAACTTATGCTCTACTTGAAAAGCCTGCAATGAAGTTTTAACTATTATGAATGAGCTTAGTCTCTGTTCAAACAGAAAGCTACCTGTCACCATCTCTCGGGACCACAGATTTGAGAAGTTCTCCAGAAGAAACCATCCCATGAACAGCTTTCGTAAGCGCAAGATAATTAGAAACATCTCAGTCCTTAGGTATCACTTTTTCAGAATATTTGCCTGCCTACTCTCATCCATATTCAATATAAACGAATTGCTGTAAAGTATAAAGACAAAACAAAAAACCTTCTGAATTGCTTAGCATTTAATTTCTTCTTTGCGGAAGAAACCATCCTAAGTGGGAGGCTCCATGCAGAAGTTGCATAGTAGCAGTTCAAGCAATTATCTCCTTTTTATAGCTCAATCCACAATGGTCTAGCACTACTTCCTCAAAGGAAGTGTCTAAATTTTGAAGCAGATGTATTATGTGGTGCCATGGTCACTGGTACACTACGGTACTGGTCCTCCAATGACCCAGACAAGACAACTCCCCGGGGCAAGCATACACTGATCCTAGTACACACTCCAGTTTCCTCATAATGGAAATCAGAATGCAAAGGAGAAAAGATGCACCCTGTTCTCCTGAAGAAAAGTTAGGATTTAATCAAACAATTAATTCCACAGCCCATCCGTATCCATGGATGTTCAAGAGCATCAACATTGTTTGGCAAGTCAGCATGGCACAGTATTGATATCTAACGTGCTGAGAAGATTTTCAGTGGAACAGTTTCATATTGGCTTTAACAACCTGGTTTCAGTCAGATTACGTTAAGTCAAAGAATTTATCCATTTCACTTAGAAAGGCCGGGGGGAAAAAAAAAAGGAAGATTTGTCTACCCCTTTAAAGAGTTGGTTGCAGTTCTATAGCACTTCCTATGCAGTTTAGGAGAGGCGAAGAAAAGAAATATTAGAGCACCCCTAAGCCCCCCCCCCCCCCCAAAAAAGCACATAAAATAAAGCTCTGCTTCTGTCAATTCCCTTCTCTTACATTTCATTTATTTAGCTCTATAGTATTGCACAGGATCCCATTCAGGCATAAAAAAAAAAAAAAAAAAAGATATAAAAACTTGGTACCCTGAAATTACATATAGGTATACTGGGTACAATCCTCTAAAAGATGGAAAGATTTCCATTTTGAATTATATTTCCAGAATAAATTACCTGAGCTCTCTAAACCCTAGGATCTTCTGCATTAGATGTTCTTCACTTTGTCCTTTTAAATACAATCTTCTATGTTCTTTGAAGCAGTGCTTCATATTTAAGGATGTAATTTATCCCATAAGCAACTGCATAAATAAATACTTCTTTAAGTCACAGTCATGAGTGATTTTCGTCATTTGTAAGTCAATGCCATAACCACCCTTATGGAAACGATTGCTCTTGCTCACAGGAAACAAAGAAAAGACATTCCTTCTAAATTGTTTGATAGTAATAAGCAGGTGGTAATAGAAACAGGCAGAATCCCTCCCTTCCCAACTCTTCATCTTGCTTGTCTCAAATTCGCAAATTTTCTTTGATCAGCATTTCAGAAATCATCATTTACAAGTTTCCGATTAGCAGTTCTCCCCCCTCCTCCCCTGCATTGTTTTATCAGGAAGTAGTTTTCCATTACTTAGAAACATGATTGTTTCCACATATTGCAGGAGCCAGGACAGGATTCAGAATCCAAATACCACTCCTAATTCAGCCACATTTGGGAACAGGCTATGCTTACAATCCTGCAAGTTAATGGGTCACAACTTGATGGGATTTTCCACACAAAGTTCATTTCCTTTCCAAGGTACTAAGTGATTAACAACAATGAAAGTCAAACTCCTCCTGACATGCAACACTATTAAACTGAACATTGTGCAACAGACGGTCATATCATATTTAACTCATTATTCCTCTTCTTAAGTAAATTGAGCACAATCAGCTCAAACTTTACACAACTTTTATGGATTTAATGGGGGCATTTAAAGTCAGAGGGAAGAGGTAAGGAACAGTGTGTACCTGAGAAATAAGGTTCAAATGGGACTGGAGTAGCCTGGCAGCCATCATCTTTATTCATCAGTAAACACTATATCCACATGTAAAGTTTAAGAGGCTGTTAGTGTTCTTCTGTCAAGTAATTTAATGTTGAGACATAAGCAGTAGTAAAAAAGTTACTAGCCATTCCTGTACCTTTGCTAGCATGAAATAAAACTGGCGAGTTACCTTTCTCTTACTTGGCTAATACGCTATTGCTATAAAAGTAAGTTTTCTTAAAGAAAACACATTTAATTAGCAGCTTTCTTTGACAAAGCAGGGACTAACTTCTAGACTTTTAGTGCAGCTTTCACTGAAAAGATTGCCTAAAAAAAATAAATAAATCAAAATTAACTCAGCATGAAATTTCCATTTCATTTAGTAACGGAACATGCCTTTGCAAATTTCACTACACTTCAATATAGAGTGTGCTTCAACACTTCAGCTGGCTGCAAAATGAATCCCATCAAAGATGTATATCTTCAGAAGATTCTCCCAGGAAAATACCAAGTGGTCAAAAATTGAACTCTTGAACAGAATGTTACATAGAATCAGTGACTAGTTTTTGCCAAATCTGATCCAGATTTATTTTCCACACACATCCCCCTGCCTAGATATCATCAGGTGATCTGTATGTCACAAGAGCCAGTTCTATAATTTAAATGATACACTGGCTTCCATGACAGAGCTGGCTTGTGAAGTTCCTGCCCAACCCAGCCAAAGTCACTTGTTTCCTCACCTATAGTCTAGGTTGTCAACCATTCAGCTATGCCAGGCCAGATATTTATGGAACAGACACGTAGTCTGAATCAATGGAGTCAATCAGGTTAACAATGCCTACGCACATAAAGGAGGGGGTGGGTGGAGGGATTTTTTTTTCTTAAAAAATAAAAATAATTTTGTAATCTAGTACAATTCCACAATCATTTGCTTAAATGTAACTGAGAAGTCAGCAATTCGTGTCATGACAAGGATCTGCATAAAGTCAGAGAAGGAAGCTGCAGGAAGCCAGTGTTATCTTACTACTGCACCTTCACCTTCAAAGCAGTGATTCTAGTTGTTTGGGTTATAGGGCATTCCAGGACCACATTTTACAAGGTCTGATTATATAAAACTCAAACAATTCCTGATTCTATGTTATAACAATATCCCTTTTCCCTCCTCACTCCGTTGCAGGCTTCCAGATTCCCTGTGCACTGGTGCTGGCATATGTGGCCATATAGTGAATGCAGAAAAAAAAACAGACCAAATGTCAACAAAAAAAAACCCCTCAAAACTAACTGGGTTCCTTTTACCTTGTTTCGCTGGACAAGTTTCCAAACAGATTAGTTTCCAAACATAAGTTTTGATCACTAGCATCAACAGAAGAAAGCAGTAGAATTTCAGTAGCAAAATGGAGTTAAACCAGGTTATATTCATCATAAAACTATACCTGTAAATGAATCATGGGTAACTTATTTGCCATATTTTATATTATTAATTTATTTACTGTAATATGTAGACTCTATGAAAAGAAAGGAGTGTTAAGCAACTAAATACATAATTATGCATACATAAAATTCATAATGAATTCACTAAATAAAGAGCAAACCAATATCAACATGCAATACTATAGTAGGAGTGGGTAAGGCTAGGAGAGAGACAGAAAAGGAATATATTTTAAGAGGAATCATCCCACTAGAGTTTCCATTTCATTTGAGAATACTTTCCAGTAGGCTCAAAACATCAAAGAGGAGGGGGATGTCTTACAGATACGAAGTTTAAGCCTAATTTTTATTTACCTGATTAAGCTGCAGTCACTGTAACCAGTTCATCTTTGACTAGAGTTTGAAAACTACAGTTTAAGAGATTCACAATATCAAACTGTAAATTTAAATTGCTGGCAGAAGGCAAACACATTAAAGGGTCTGGAATATCCCGCACCTTTTCAAGGTGAACTACTATTTGAAGAATAGAATGTGCATTTGTTTAGTCACAGTGATTTGGTTACAGCTCACCCTTACTTAAAAAGAAAAAAAAAGTTATTGTTTGTAGACATGAATGTTCAAAGTTAGACTTAAAATCAATACTGTCCTTTCTTCTATTAACGGCCACAAGCCCTTAACTCCACAGTAAAGGCAATGGGTATTTAGAGCACATTTACTCAATTCAACATTTGGATTTCTACTTCATAAAACAGAAGGAGCTTGAATTTTCATGTAGACAACAGGTGTGAGAGAATCAGTTACAAAGGCCTCACCGATTCATCATATGAGGAAAACATATGCAGGCACACCGCAACAGCAAGTCACCATTACAGATATGGGTCAGTGGAAGGACAGCCAAACTCACAATGGTACGTACCTAAGAGTGCCATTTTCTCCTTTGTCCAGGCTGGTGAAGCGACTGTACAGGCGAGTGATTTGACTGTGGGAGACTGGAGGAGGAAAAAAATAAAAAAATCAAAAAAAAAATTCAAAAAACAAAAAACAAAACAAAACAAAAAAATACAAATTAGCATGTCCATCATCCTTTCTAGAATTGGATCTCGTTACACCGAACTACTCAGTTACAAGCAAATATATTACAAGACTGCCAAATTTCCAATTGTCAAGACTGTAAGAAACAATTCTCTTCTTCACAAGAGGAAATCTGTTCTTCTCTTGGTAAAGAAGCAGAGGCAAACAGTACTGGGACAGAATAGCTTCTTCTGGAGAGATCTTGTGACAAACTTTCAATTTTGATAGTCATCTTAACCTGAAGAAGGTAAATATACTTCACAGGAGCTCATGTGAAAGCCACAGTCAACTTTAGCTTCTAGCACACGTCTTCCTACATCTCCAGCTGTCTACTGCTTAAGACAAAAAACTGTTGACATACACAAGCTCCCTGTCAACCCTGGAAACAAGTTCCCACTCATTCAGAGTGCCTGTCTCCATTCCTATCGTCTTTTTCCAGACTAAAAAGTCAAAGCATACTCAGTTTCTCTACTTCGGGAAAGTGGTCACAGAGACTTTATGCCTGAACATGTTTCCTTCCATACAGGACTATCAGAATCTAGATGTAGGTTGTTCATTTCCAGGTTCACTAAAGTAACTTGCAGACTTCTAGGATCTTAAAGCCAAAAGTTCCTATCTAAAAAGGATTAGCAGGGATTTGGGACACCAAGATGAAATAAGAAAATTATTGCAGAATTGTAAGTATGCAATTTGCAGCAGAAATTCCAAAGCCAGTTATTAACTTTAGTATAATGGTTTAAATTTTACCAAGATGCTAGACAACTAGATTGTTAAAAGAGGCCATGGTGGGAGTAGATGAATCTGTTTAAAAACAAAAAAAAACAAACAGTTTCTTTAACATTGTAAGTACATGCTTTACAGAAATCTTTGGCAGTTCCGAGCCTCTTCAGCTAGCATTAAGTTAATCAATACATTAAATAAGGCCGAATTAAATCTTAATGTTTACTCAGTAAAAGTGTGATTTTGAAAGTGACACTAAGTACTGATTCAGCTGTACAAATTCAATTGTTTCAACAGCAAAGGCTTTGTTAGTTTCTAAAACTTACTTGGGAACAGGTTGCACAGCAGTCGTTTGATCTGTGACAAGTAAGGCTGAATTACTTTATCAGGTTTGTTCTTTCTCCAACCTATTTGTTTAGGTTCAACTGTTCCCTCCTTTAGGATGACCTGCCAGCAACTGCCTTTTTTTTTTTTTTTCCTCATGTCTCCCTGGCAACCTTCATTCTTTGCACTGGGTTGGGCAATTTGCTCAGTTCCACATAAGGCAACGTCTGGATGATCAGATTGGGCAGCTTGCTCAACTTCAAGTTGAGCAATACACACAGAGAACAGGCCAGCAGCATTTTGAAGACTACTCTGTCAACATTTCTGATTTAGCGTTTTAAAGATGGTATGCAAATACAACAACTGACAGTGAAAAAAAGAATAGCTGAGCATTACATTTTGGATAAATAGCCTTGCACACCCATCCCTCCCTGGAAATACAGTCATGGTATTTTCACTCAACTGCTAGTTCTAAACTATCAGCAACTCCAATTTTGAAATAATTCTGTAATAGTACATGATTAATATGAAGCTACCGCAGCAGAAGAAATGTCTTCGGTAACATCACACTATACTTGTAAGTGTATGAGAAAGGATATATGATTCAGGTCCACCAATAAATTATTTCCCAAATTCTTTTTGTTTCTTATCCCACATGAAAGCTGCAGCACTGACTCCACTTTTCAGGGCCTTCCTGCAAGGCAGATTTTCAGCCTTCCCTGATAATGAAAGAGCCAGAGCAAAAGCTGCAACTTATTCTTGCATCTTAAACACAAAAGCTAAGGTTTAAAGCTAACTGAAACATGATTTTTACTTACTTGCTCATCCCTACTTATGAGGCCCTTTAAATATTTAAATAAAGCTCCTTTATTTTGCCCAAAACCATACTTCTGCTAAATATTTAGCAAGTTCATTGTAATCAGACAGTTTATAACTTTTTCCAAGTTAAACCTACAAAATATAATCGTAAGGTCATACACTTGCATTTCAGAAAATCCATTACCTGTTACCACTAAAATGATATTTTGTGAAAAATGCCTTTAAGTTCTGATATGAGTTTACTAGTTTACTATTCACCTTGAAGTAAGCACAAGAATAAGGGTGTGAACCAATGCTGTTTAAATACTATTACATGTTTACACGTTTCCAAAAACTTGCAGCAGAATGCTGACAACATTAGGAACTCTCATCTATCTCTTTTAGGGGTAAATAAAAGAGTGGTTAGGGCTCCTTGAATTTGTTTTTTCAAACCCTAATTTCAAAATATTGATATGCAAAGCAAACAATTCCACAAAACATCATATAAGGTTTCGGGCTGTCAACTTCCCATTTAACTCCAGTTACTGAGAACCTACTACAGATTATGTGCCACTAAGCAGAGGTTTTACAGGAAAATGAGTTACTTTTAGGTTCTTGGAAACACTAGCTTTATAGGTATTTCTTAGTATGCTATGCTAAAAAGTGTCAGTTTTTCACCACAATTAAATGACAAGGTTGCTTCAAATTCCCATCAAAAAATCTTTTTTTATCTGCTCAACTAAAAGAACTTTACTATAAGGTTTATCACCCCTATTAGTGTCATTAGCTGTTCAGTTTTGTGCTATTTAAAAATGAAAGAGCTATATATCTCCACAATTGAACGCCTTCCAATAGGCTAAGTGTTCTGTTCATGCCTTTGCACTTATCCCAAAATGAACTGGAAAAGCTGTTTCACTGTACGGCACACCCAAGAAGAAAGACTCCTTAGCCGTGCTTATCAGGCATTAGTTCAACATGGACATTCAGTCCTGTCAAATAGTTTTGCTTTTACCATGTCGCCTTCTAAAACTCTTTAGTAGGTGAAGTATCACCAACAAGAAATTTCCAAGAAATAGCAGGACAGTCTATTCAGCAATACCTGCTTAACATTCTTCCAGTGACCTTCACTACAAATTATCCGGAGGCCCACTTCCCCCCTGCCCCACTCCTGTACCTTGCAAACCTTGTATTTGCACCTATGCACAGTGTATGACAGCGCTAACTTTAGTGCAATTTTCATTTGAACTAGAGAACTACAACAGACAGACAAGAATCACATTCCTACCCTGGGAAACTGGCTGGGGGCAGACATAGATTGATGAAGCCAAAAAGTAGACTTTCTGTGACAGCTTACAAACAGGCATTAGAACATTAGCAGTGCTTTATTAATCAAGTCATATTTTACAACCCTGTACATGAACGTGAAGAAAAAAAACACAGGCAGATTAAGCAAATTGAGATCACAAGGCTTAAATCTCCTGGCCACAGGAAAGTTTAACACTTCAAAGGTGTGACTAGAGGCTAACTAAAGCAGGACTGTACTAGCTCCAGTCAGGTTTATCACTCAGCTCTTCTGCATAGCCACCCTACAGGTATTTACTTAACCACCAATGGTCTAAAATTCTAGGAATGAAACACCACAGATAAATAACTGGGGAGAGAAAATGAAAAAGTTAAATCTTTTGGAAGAGTATTCCAGATTTGAGCTTTTATATTTAAAATTATTTTAACAGGAGGCTACCTTTACTTAAAGATCATAGAGCAAGTTCTTCCTGGATAAGCATACTCAAACTCCTACTCCTTGTTTATCACAACGCTCCTGTAGAAGCTTCCCATGGAGGGAAAGGATTCATGAAAAAAGGATCATGGAAAGCATGGTAACTCACACTGTCTTGTACTCTCTCTCTCTTCACGCACTTGTTTCCCTGGCACAAATAAACTATTACCTAAAATGAACACATGACAACACTCGAAGGGGTAAAAGTACTTTCAGATAACAGAGACAGAGAAGCAAATACAAGTAGGAAATAAGCATGATCTGGGAAAACCTTGTTTCACCAGAGGAAGAGAAAAACAAGCCACAGAAAATAAAAAGCAGCGAGGCGACACCTAGGATGTCACAACCTCATCACTCCTGCTAAGAGTGCCCTAAATTTGCCATCATTCACCATTTACTAGAATTCTCACGCTGGCAACCACTGTCATCAGCCAAATCAACAAAACAAATGAGTGAGCTTTACCTTACCTTTATATTTATAGGAAACAGCTCAGTACTACACGGCAGAGCAGCTCTATACCCTAGGCCACTCGGGGCAGCGCATTCCCCTCTCTTACCCAACTCTCAGGGGTTACGCTACTTCTTACATGCTTTAAAAGCCGCTCAGCCCGAATATCCTTAGGGCAACATGGGTGAAAGCCTGGACTTCAAGTGCCACCTGGGCGAAACGCACGGAGAGCTCTTCCAGAGCACTACCCACACGGCAGAGCAGCTCTATACCCTAGGCCACTCGGGGCAGCGCATTCCCCTCTCTTACCCAACTCTCAGGGGTTACGCTACTTCTTACATGCTTTAAAAGCCGCTCAGCCCGAATATCCTTAGGGCAACATGGGTGAAAGCCTGGACTTCAAGTGCCACCTGGGCGAAACGCACGGAGAGCTCTTCCAGAGCACTACCCACCCGAAACGCCTGCGGAGGAGAAGCCGCGGAGGCAGAGGCTCCACAGCCCCACCGCGGACGCCAGGGCAGGCACGGAGCGCCCGCCTCCGGCGCGGAGGCCGCCGCGGGCACCGCGAGGCCCGGTTCCAGGCTTGGCGAAGCAGAGCAGGTCTCCCCGCGAGGCGGGAGCGCCGAGGC